TTTGTTATATAATTTTTTAATGATTTGGACCAATTGTGTCATTTTTCTATGTAGAGTTTGGTGACTGCGTATTAAGTACGCAGACAAGTGGGACGTGGCATGGTAATGGGACACTACCCAATACTGGGACGTCGTTGCCCAAGGATCAAACGTGGTGTGTGGCCAACGGGGAAGCTGGGGTGGACATACTCACAGCATTGCTAAAGTATGCGTGTTGGAAGGGATGGGCCGATTGTAGTTTGATCCAACAAGGTTCCTCGTGTTACAATGATAATTCGCTTGTTGCCCAGACTTCGTACGTTTTCAATGGCTATTATCAGAAGAAGGCTCGTGCTGATGGCTCGTGCGATCTTGCAGGAGCTGCTTATATCACCAGTCAACGTCCCCGTAAGTACCATCCAAATTTTTCTCTATTTTCATATTTTTTTTCTAATAATATCTTATTTTGAAAATGATTTGGCGGAACGTGTCGTTTTATGATGTAGAGTATGGTGAATGCGAATTCACTACAACATCCAACAGCACACCAGCACCGGCCAGTGGGGCATGGTTTTCCCAGGGTCGAACCTGGTGCTTGGCAAGTAAGAATGCTGGGGAGGAGATACTCCTATCATGGATTAAATATTTATGTGAAGGGGGATTGGCCGATTGCAGACAGATCCAAGAGGATGGATATTGTTACGATAAAAATTCGACCATAACCCACGCTTCGTACGTTTTCAACAGCTATTATGAGAAGAAGGGTCATGCCCCTGGCACATGTGATTTTGGAGGAGCGGCTTACATTATCACTCAACCTCCCCGTAAGTACAATCCAAATTGCATGGTCTCTATTATGGTTTTTTTATTTGAATATCTATTTTCGAAAATTATTTTGATGAACGATGTTTTTTTTTTGTAATGTAGAATATGGAGAATGCCAATTTACTCCAGGGATGCTACCCAGTAATGAAACAACATGGTGCGTGGCTAAAAAAAATCCTGAAGGTGCTGATGAGTGGAAGATTCAGAAAGGGCTGAAGTTCGCATGTGGGGAAGGAAAGGCCGATTGTGCTCCTATCCAGCAGGGTGGTATGTGTTACAATCCTAATACGCTCGAGGCCCACGCTTCCTATGCTTTTAACAGCTACTACCAGATGAGGGCTCGTGATGCTAGTGCATGCAATTTCAATGGAGTTGGTCAAATCGTCAACGAAGCTCCTCGTAATACCATCCAAATTTCAATCTCTCTAATCTTATTTTTTTCTTCTAATATCTAGTTTTAAAAATGATTTTTCTAAACACTTCTGTTTTATAATGCAGAGTATGGAGAATGCGAATTCCCTACATATTATACTACAGGCAGCTAAAGATAATAGTCTCGAGAACAAACATTTTATTTATATTCAAGGATATGACTTACTTTTTATTTGGATGTAATGGGTACAAATCTTTCTCTTATTAATTCTAATATATTATTATTACATTATTTATGAAACAAATTAGTTGTTTGTAATAGTTAAATATTTATGGTAAGAGTTACAGTTGTTAGGTTATTAGTTATGTTGGAGGTAAATTATCGACTGCCACATATGCACGAATCGTGTATTAGAAAGTCTTTAGTTATCTTAATGAGGCATAAAACCGAACATCACCCACCTTTTAAAAGATTGTTAATAGCTCGACATGCAATGTTGAGCCGTCGTGTATTTTTTACATTGGTCTACCTTCTCAAAGGATGAGTCGGCTTTCAAGAGCATATGCAAAAAATTCCATCTGAATTTCAAATAACACCCCGTGATTCCCACACTACTGGGAGAGTTGTTATAATAGCGTTGGACGTCATTTTGGAAGCTCATTTGTACAAATAGAGTACCCCACCTCACATCCCAAGTACGCGAAACCATTATCTCTGGAGTAATAAATCGAATATGTAGTGACTTAAGCGTCAGAGTTGTTACTCTCTTTTTTAGGTTCCTTCGTTCATTGATCATACATTTTCAAGCTTTGTGGTCCTTGATCATTTTCTTTTATCAAACATTTGGCACCCTCTGTGGAGATCTAACAATTTTCCAAGTCATTTTCCCTACAGAGCTATGGCTCAAGCACGCTCCCAGCAACTGCACACCCCAACCCATCAAGGACGTTATACTATTTGTCCCTCGTACTACCAGGTGGCTGGGGCCTTAGCAACCAAGGTTAATGGTCGTCTTAATGCTACAAATGATCGAATTGCTACTAAGCGCTACCCGCTCGTTGCTTGCCAAACTACCGTTGGTAAAATTGCGACCAATGGTCATCCTACTACTATTAAATGATCTGCCATCAACGATCGTCCAATCGACAACGGAGTACAAGTTCCTCAATGATTAATTTCTCGGACAGACCTCCCACACTGGGTTGGAACACCAACCTTCTTCTCTATTTGTTCATTGTGATCAGCATGATAGTCGAAATGCTTGAAATTAAGACCAGAATGGAAGAAATGGAATGAAAACATGAGACGTTTGCATCATCAATCTCACGTGACTTGAGGAAGGTAAGGCACCTATGTACCCTTCCATCTGAGGAGATGAATATGTCCCGCACTGACTAAGTCGTGTCGACACCCATCAATGGAACCCATTCCCAAGCATGGAAATCATTCGCGATCCATCTCAGCCTCATGAAAATGCAACTGCTTCAAGGCCACTTCGGAGATGACAATCATCAGCCTCAAGTTTGACTCACACGCGATCCATGTGATGATCCTCATTTATGGAGATCCTTGCAATGTTCTCAATGATCGAGCTTGCCACGATGCACTGCCCCATATATAGGGTTGAACCAATGAGCTTGAAGACCTTAGACTTACACTGAACGATTGGAGAGAATAAGGAGCCTCAAAGTTAACAGTTAACAGAAAGCTTCAAGGGCTGACCTATACATTCGATCCGATGTTGATCAGATGTCATATAGGTTTGAAAAATAAATTTGAAAGGGGACGTACCACTAACGACAAGAATGAAGAACTCGAGGGAACCCCCTTTTGTTCAAGAAATCCATGATGGCAGCATCCTAAGTAAATTCAAGATGTCGACCTTCAAGATGTACGACTGCTAGAGCGACTAAGTCTACCATGTCAAAATTTTCGAAGGCTTGACGGACATATAAGTTGCGAATGATACGATGAACTGTTGAGCTTTCCAAATTTCATTGGGAGGGTAAGCTTGGCTCTGGTATAGATAATGGAAGCCCAAGTATATCTCTAGCTGCCGAGAAAGACCTTCATAACTAATTTGTCAGGTCAACATCACACAAACCGACTAGAACCTTGTTAGCTTACAATCCGTAAAAAAGTGGAGTTGTTGAAGGACTATGTCAGCTGCTTCAAGTAGGAGTAAGAGAGTGTTATGCTACAACACTCAAAGGGTCGGGTGCACGCGTGGTTATCATTAGGCCTTAAGAAATAAAAAATTTATGTAATGAAGATTCCTCAAATCATTATCGAGGAACGGGAGCCGAAGATTAGAGTTTGTACTACTCTTGATCTCAGACAAAACATGTTAGCATCAACACCAAGTTGGGGTTCGAGACAAGAAAAAAATTGATTAAATTTCTCTAAGCCAACTTCGACATGTTTGTGTGGTCACATGAAGACATGCTCGACATCGATCCTAACATCATGGTTCATAGGCTTAATGGAGACCCTGCATTCCGACTGGTAAAGAAAAAAGCATTAGCTTGCTCATGCAGCGAAGTGTTTTAATTAGTTATGAAGTTGACAGGGTCATATGAGCCAATTTTATAAAATTAGTTCACTACCTTACTTGGCTTTGTAATGTAGCTTTAGTGAAAAGAGTTAATACGAGATGACAAGTCTGCATAAAGTTGACAAGCTAAAAGATAGATTGTCCGTAGGACAATTTTCCTCTACATCTGATAGATTAGATTAAAGATGTCGCTGCAGGGCACGAGCGATTAACATTTACAGATGTTTACTACAGCTAAATCAAAATTTAAATGCAGGTCTCTAACCAAGAACATACCTCATTCGTGACCGACCAACAACTATATTGCTACAAAACTCTGCCCTTTGGCCTTAAAAATGCTGAGGCGACCTATCAGTGCATTGTTAACATGATATTCACCAAGCAAATAGATTGGAATATGGAGGTCTATTTCGACGACATGTTGGTTAAGAGCAAGAAGACGTACTCTCACATTGTCGACCTATCAAACGTATTTGATGTCTTGTGCCAATACAAAATGAAGCTCAATCTGAGTAAGTATACCTTAGGAATAGCATCTGACAAATGGTCAACTAGCAAGGAATCAAAGCTAATCCATATAAGATTTGAGCTATTTCTAATATGGAGCCTCTGAATAATTTAAGGCAACTACAACAATGTAGTCGTCAGATCATTGTCTTAAATTGCTCCATGTCTTAGTTAACCGATAAATACCTCACATTCTTCAAATTGCTATGGAAGAAAGAACGGATTGAGCGGATATCATAGTACCAAGAAGATTTTGATCAGCTGAAGCAGTACCTCGGCATGACACCTCTACAACCAAAACCCTTGTTTAATCATCAGACTGTTCTTATACTTAGCCATTTGATAAAAGGTAGTTAGCTCAGTGCTAAATAAAAAAGATGAAGGTCGGCAAAACCCAATTTACTACACAAACAAGTCTATGATTGATGCAAATATTAGGTATTCGTGCATTTAGAAGCTCGCGTTAGAAACCGGTCTGCTCGACTTAATGATTACAACCATAATTGCAAGCTAACTAGGTGACAGTTCTAACCAATTTTCCTTCGAGGCAAGTCTTTTAAAACCCAAAAACCTCAGGTCATTGATGTAGTGAGCCTTGGAGTTGAGTGAATACGACATCAACTTCAAACCTAAGAACGCATTGACGGGCCAAGCTGTGGCAGACTTCATTGTCTCGCTGAACCCAATCAGCCATGGCATACTTCATCCTTTCAGACAGTGGACCTATACGTGGATGGGCCTACAAACTAGAAAAGATGTAGAGTTGGAATGCTGCTCCTCAGACTGGGCGAACATCAATTTGAGTTCAAATGCTGCTCCTTGGACAACAAATGAGAATCTAGCCGTACCAGTCAGGGCTGTTCATGGTTCATAGCAAACCTGGAAATGACCCACTTCAATTTGTCTCCTCCATGATTCAGATACTCCTGTGAAGCTTTGCCTCTTGTCGTAGAGGGTGTTCTTATGTTTCAAAGACTATTCCTCAAATATTATAGTCACGCTTAGATCTACATTTGGGAGAAGAATCTCCTCATTAAGTTAAGCCATTGAGTCCTCGTCCCAACCCTTAGGTGCCAAGAATCCGGTCGGCCCTCCAAACGCTTCGCAAGGAACAACTTGTCGGGAACGTCAGTTGAGGAGTCGGCAACTCATCTTATATTTTGTCAGAAATCAGTATAACAAACGGACTTATAGCTCCATTAGACATTTTGGAGAATGTGGTAGAAAGTGACCGTGTCAAGATTGCAACATCCCTCCCTCTATTAAATAAGGAGTATATGCATTAATGAATGGGCGTGTAAAACAAAAAGATATTTCTTGAACAAGCATGCGATGCTCACAGTGACCAGACGTTGTTAGACGCGCGCATAACGCAGTAGTGACACTGTAAGATACAAAAAGACGTGCATGGCCCCCACCTGCCACGTGACACAAACTATTTGTCAAAAGGTAAAACAAAGTTTGGGCAATTCACATAAAAGCCAAAGCAAACACGAAAGTAAAAAATGCGATCTATTAATAAAGATGTTGCATGAAATTACAAAGCTCGCTCGAGCAAGAGATACTAGACTTGGAGAAAAGAAGATCCCTTTGTAAATATCTGTTAAGGGAGGAGAGAAAGGAGTAAAGAATCCCCATGCTCGCGGTGCCCATTATTCGAGCACGCCGTGGTCCACTAAAGGATTGGAGGAGTGAAAAGAGTAAAGAATCCTCCATGTTCGCGGTGTCCACCGTTCCACCGTTGCAGCATGCCATTGTCCACTATAGGAGAGATAAAGGTGTAAAGAATCGCAATGCTCATGGTACCCACCACTATAACACGTTGTTGTCTGCCAAAAGAGAAGAGAAAGGAGTAAAGAACCCTCCCAAACCTCGTGGCACTCACTAATGAAGCATGAGGTTGAGGCCTTATTTCTACCACCAACATTGACAAAACTCTAGGAGAAACACCATCTAACAAGATTTCAACTATAGGGGGCGCTACTCCTGCCACTTTCTATAAGAGAGTTGTTTTTTGCTTCATTTAAAAGGATTTTTTGTGCTTTTGAGGACCGTAGCTTGGTTTTGCATGTGTATTGAATACTTAATTATGGTAATCATGAAAATGAGCCTTATGTGAGTGTGGTTTCTGAAAGGATACAAAAATTCACTCGTTTTTAAGTATTATGGGCCAAGTTTAAGCATTGTTGGAACATTAAGGACTTTTGATGTCAATAGCATAGTTTTGCAAGTTC